TAACTGGCCGATTAGAGGAAGCTGATTTTCTCTTAGAAAGAAATCTCGTTCTAAAATGGGAGCTGGGCGGAAGTAATTTGTGACCACCAGAAAGAGCAGAGCCTGAATCTCCAAGCGAACGAGAGTGCGGGACAAAGATTGGGCTACATAAACCAGGCGTTCTGTAAATTCAGATAAAGTGACTGATTAGCGATGCTCGCCAAAGAAGTCAATCCGAGTATTCCCTGACCGGAAACCTTGGATGAACCGGGAAATCCACCCCCTACTGAAGGCCAGACGGGCAACATTCAAGTTGGACGGCCCAGACCAGTACAGTAAATCTGGATATGACCTGCGCAAAGCCATCAGGGAGGTCAAGACCAAGTTAGAGGCCCAAACCTACCAAATAGACTCCCGCCGCCTATAGCAAGGCTGAAACAACATTGCGGGATACAAAATGAAGCAGAGCAAGATGGCCGACAGAGACACATCCCTCTGTGACGTGCCCAATGCTTTCTATGCTCAATTTGAGCAGAATACCACCAGTAACATCTGCCCTGACAACCCCTGACACACCTGTTCCCTCTGTCACCGCCTCAGAAATTAGATCAATCTTCCCGGGAATCAACCCAAGGAAAGTGACGGGCCCAAACGGTGTCCCCGGCCGAGCTCTCAGATCCTGTGCAGACCTACTGGCGGAGGTATTCACCGACATTTTCAACCTCTCCCTCCTACCACCTGAAGCCCCCACCTGCTTCAAGAAAACCACCATCATCCCCGTTACCAAGAAAACACATGCAGTGTGCTTTAATGACTACCGCCCAGTGGCTCTGACTTCAATAATCATCAAGTGCTTTGAGAAGCTGGTCATGGCCCACATCAACTCCAGCTTCCCAACCTGCCTCGATCCCCTACTGTTTGCCTACCGGATCCACAGCGGATACCATATCCCTAGCCCTGCGCTCATCCCTGGAACAAAGACACCTACATCAGATTCCTGCTCATTGACTACAGCCCCGTCTTCTGCACCATTCTCCCCTCCAGACTGATCTCAAAACTGCATGACCTTGCCCTCTGCAACTGGATCCTTAGCTTTCTGACCCACAGGCCACAATCAGTGAGAATAGGTAACTGCACCTCGTACACAGTAACACTCAACACTGGAGCCGCGCCAAGGATATGTCCTCAGCCCCCTACGGTACTCCCTGCACACCTACCACTGTGCCTGCCAAATTCCAAACCAACACCATCTACATGTTCGCTGACAGTACCACCATAGTGGGGCAGATCCCTAACAATGATGAGTCAAACTACAGAAAGGAGACAGAGGGCTTGGTGACGTGGTGCGATGATAACAATCTGTCTCTCAATATCGCCAAAACTAAAGAACTGATCATCGCCTTCAGAAAGAAAGGAGGAGAACACGCCCCCATCTACATCAGTGGAACTGAGGTGGAGAGGGTCAAGTTCCTTGCAGTGACAGTAAATCTGTCCTGGACTTCCCACGTAGTGCGATGGTTAAGACGGCACAACAACGCCTCTTCTTCCTCAGGCAAGCTCAGGAAATTTGGGATGTCCATAAGGACCCTCACCAACTTCTACAGATGCCCCGTTGAAAGCATGCTGCCCAGGTGCATACGGCCTGGTATGGCAACTGCTCTGCTCAGGACGGTAAGAAACTACAGAAGGTGGTGTGCACAGCCCAGACCATCACAGAAGCCAATCTTCCATCCATGGAATCTACTTACACAGCTTTGGAAAGGCTGCCAGCATCATCAAAGACCCATCAAACCCCGGTAATGCCTTCCTACAATCTCTCCCATCAGGCAGAAGGTACAGAATCCTGAACACACACACCAGCAGGTTCAGGAACAGCTTCTTTCTGGCCGTTATGAGACTGATGAATGGACTCTCTAACTTCAAATCATGTTGATCTTGTTTTGTGCACCTCCTGTGCTGTCGTAAACCTGTATACCTCGTTCTGTTTAAGCACCCTCTGATCTGTATGATCAGCCTGTACTGCTCACCAACAAAGCTTTTCACTGTACCCAGGAAACGAAAGCATCTCTAACAGACAAAGTGTGAACATTGACGTCTCAGTCATCAAGAGATGTAAAGCACGGAAACAGATCCTTCGGCCCAACTTGTCCATGCCAACCAGGTATCCTAAATTAATCTAGTCCCATTTGTCAGCATTGGGTCCATGTCCATCATTCACGTACCCATCCAGATGCCTTTTAAACGTTGTCATTGTAACAGCCTCCACCACTTCCTCTGGCAGCTCGTTCCATACACGCACCACCCTCTGCGTGAAAAAGTTGCCCCTCAGGTCCCTTTTAAATCTTTCTCCTCTCACCTTAAACCCATGCCCTTTAGTTTTGGACTCCCCCTACCCTGGGGGATAAAGACCTTGTCTATTCACCCTATCCAAACCCCTCGTGATTTTATAAACCTCTATAACGTCACCCCCTCAGCCTCCGACGCTCCAGGGAAAACAGCCCCAGCCTCTCCCTGTAGCTCAAACCCTCCAACATCCTTGTAAATCTTCTCTGAGCCTTTTCAAGTCTAACAACAACCGGTTTATTTCTGTGGGTCAATAATGCGGAGGCTTTGGAAACACCACGAGGTACAAGTGTGTGCACGGTCTAATTACAGACTTGCCATATTAACTTGACAATTATCTGGCTGCAAAGTTAATCTCTCCAATTTATCTAAGTCTCAACTCTACTTACCAATTAGAACTGTTCTCCTCACGTAACCAGCTGAATCACCATTTTGCTCACCCTGGATTGGATATGAAAGTGCACTGAGAGAGACGGAGAGTTAGAACTTGCATCCATGTACTGTCTGTCCCTGCATTTTTGGGGCAGCACGTAGCTGAGGAACAAGCAGGGGCTAAGGAGGGAGAGTGAACAGTACCGGAGCAGATACGGAAAACATGGATTTGTGGGACATGGGCATCGCCAGCTGGGCCCAGCGTTTATAACCCTCAGTTGCCCCCACCCCCACAGAAGGTGGGGTTGAGCTGCCTTCTTGAACCACTGCAGTCCATGTAGCTGTGGGTCAACCGTTAGGGAGGGTTTCTGACCCAGCGACGCTGAAGGAACGGCTGATATATTTCCAAGTCAGGGACAGTGAGGGGCTGGGAGGGCCTGCAGGGGGTTGGGGGTGGAGTTCCCATGTATCTGCTGCCCCCTTGGTCCTTCTGGATGGAAGTGGGTTTGGACCGTGCTGTCTAAGGATATTGATCTGTGACACAACTCTCTCGATTTTGGCTGTAGCCTCCCAGCTGGACTTCGCAGGGCTGTTTCTGCTGTTGTCTTTTCCGGTGCCTAGGTCAATGCCAGGTAGACCTCCCAGTTTCATCTCTTTATAGCCATTTCTTTGTAGTGATTGATACAGCTTTGTAGATGACACCAAAATTGGAGGCTGTAGTGGACAGCGAAGAAGGTTACCTCAGAGTACAACGGGACCTCGATCAGATGGGCCAATGGGCCGAGGGGCGGCAGATGGAGTTTAATTTAGATAAATGTGAGGGGCTGCATTTTGGGAAAGGCACATCAGGGCAGGACTTATACACTTAATGGTAAGGTCCTGGGGAGTGTTGCTGAACAAAGAGACCTCGAGGTGCAAGTTCAAAGTTCCTGGAAAGTGGAGTTGCAGGTAGACAGGGCGGTGAAGAAGGTGTTTGGTACGCTTGCCTTTATTGGTCAGTGCATTGAGTATAGGAGTTGGGAGGGTCATGTTGCAGCTGTACAGGACATTGGTTAGGACCACTTTTGGAATACAGCGTACAATTCTGGTCTCCCAGAAGGATGTTGTGAAACTTGAAAGGGTTCAGAAAAAATTCACAAGGATGTTGCTGGGTTTGGAGGGTTTGCGCTACAGGGAGAGGCTGAATAGGCCGGGGCTATTTTCCCTGGAGCGTCTGAGGCTGAAGGGTGACCTTATCGAGGTTTATAAAATCATGAGGGGCATGGATAGGGTGAATAGTCAAGGTCTTTTCTCCAGGATAGGGGGAGTCTAAAACTAGAGGGGCATAGGTTTAAGGTGAGAGGGGAAAGATTTAAAAGGGAGCTGAGGGGCAACTTTTTCACACAGAGGGTGGGGTGTGTATGGAACGAGCTGCCAGAGGAAGTGGTGGAGGCTGGTACAATGACAACACTTAAAAGGCGTCTGGATGGGTACGTGAATGATGGGCCCAATGCTGAGAAATGGGACCAGAATTATTTAGGATATCTGGTTGGCACAGACGAGTTGGACCAAAGGGTCTGTTTCTGTGCCATACAGCTCTACGACTCTATAACTGAGTTGTTTCCACGTTGCTGTGTATCTGGAGTCCCATGTAGGCAAGGATGGCAGATTTCACTTGTGAAACAGATGGAGTTTTACTGAAAATGGCTTCACGGTCAGCAATAGGTTCTTAATTCCGGATTATTTTTCATTACATTCAATCCTGAAGTGGTAGGAATTGAGCGCAGGACATTAGCCGAGTTTCTGGATTGATGAATCTAGTGATGGCGATGCCTCTCCAAAACCCACAGTGAATAATTCCCTGGGTAGATTAATGTGATGGGTCTGAGGGGTTTGCTGTGGGGAAGCCCTGTTACAGGCAGCAGGGAGGGCAAGAAAAAGGTGGATGAGAGGAGTTTTTTCTTTGTCTCCCACCCAACCCCTGTGTTACAGGCACAAGGTCAGATCAGACCTTCCCACTGTAAGTTACTAACTGAGTCAGCCAGAAAGGGTATATTGAGGCACACAGATCAGAAATGGTGCGACTCTGGCACAAGTCTCAAATTGGTTGCTGTGTTTTAGCCCAGGGACTGTAAATCGCTTGGATTTCTACGAATATATAATCTGACGAGCAACCAGAGGGCGCAGATTCAAGGAATTTGTCTGGGCACTCGTTGATCACTGCGTTGGGGAAAATCACACAAACACACACCCCAGGTATGTGTCTGCAGTTTTACCGAGGTACGTGCGTTTGTATAGCACCCCGGGGGTGTGACTGTGTAACATGTTAAGGCAGAGGGCCGACAAAGATGTGGTTCTTGGGAGCAGGGAGCCCCTTTGTATGCCTTCACAACACAGCTCTCTCTCTCCCTCCTCTCCCAACTCCTGTAACAGAGACTCCGCGCAACCAGCTTTCTGTTCCTGGGAGGAGTTTGGAAACGAAAAGCCGGGAGGGGCTGGGGGACGGAGTTTGAGCGTTTGGAGCTCTCTCTCTCTCTCTCTCTGTGTGTGGATCTAATGGTGTGTGTGGCCTTGCTTCCTGGCAGTGTAGCAGAGAGAGTGAGGACGTGGTGAATTGCAGCTATGAATTCAGGAAGTGAAGGCAACCTGAAACTGACAGGTGGGTCTCTGTGTATTTCTGTCTCTGTCTCTGTGTATGTGTTTGTGTCTCTGTGTGTGTCTCTGTCTTTCTGTGTGTGTGTCTCTGTCTCTGTGTCTGTGTCTCTGTGTCTTTCTGTCTGTGTGTGTCTGTGTCTCT